GTGCACTCGGATGTGGACGGCGTCGCTAGCACCGTGTTGTTGTCGTCGTCGATAGTGATCGCCACCGACGCTGGGCCGCCCGAGCCGTCCATCTGGACCCACTGCAAGCGCTTGTACGCGTCGTTCTCGGCGCGAATGTCGGCGCGCGCCTTGTCGCGGAGCTCGTGCAGATTGTTTGGGCAGTGCTGCCGTCGAGCGCAGCGAGCGCAGTCCGTACGCGGTCGGCAAACGCGCGCTCCTGGGCCTCGCTATTCGATTTCGGAAGCAGCAACGACGCTTTCAGGAGCACGAGGAGCTCCAAGAAGAGCACTCTTCCTTGGTCACGTGGCCCTTCGTCTTGGACTGGCGCAGGAAGCCCGAGACAGCTTGGTACAAGACGGGCTCGGCGTTCTTCAAGATGACTAGCGGCTCGGTAAGGTCGACGTCGAGGCTGTCGTCTTTCGGAACCTCGGCTAATGGCTCTGCATCTGCACTCAGCTCGCCTTCTTTGGCAGGCTTCATGTAGGGCAGCGACAAGGTCCAAGATGCGCTTGTCGAGGACGCTCGTCGATAGCGTGTCCATGTCGGCGGTCTCGCGGAGGAAGCAGCAGGCCATGGATCGTCGGGAGAGGCAGCTCTGGTAGAGCCCCTCCCCGCATGCAGCATGTACGTCTTGGATGAGCTCCTTCAGCTTCGTCTTCCCACGGTCCACTTCCATGCTGTCGCGGATCGCAGGGACGAGATGGGAGGTCTTTGGCTGCTTTCGTTTTCCTGACTAACATCACCCCACTTCCTCCGGATAACGCCCACGCAAATAGTGTAATACCATGCCGCCAACCACGCATGCACCGTACGGCCGCGATGACCGCGATATGCCGCATGCGTACCTCGCCCCCGACATGTGCACGCCATGAATCGGTGGGATCCACGCAGCACGGACTGTACAGCACACCAGAAAACGCGACCTCCCTGTTTTACACTATTCTCTGCATCACACTATTCAAGGAATATAAACGCCAGGATCGCGATCTTCAACCTCGCCGTGTCCCACATATCGGATGATCATGATGGTCACATCGTCAAGCCCAATCGTCGTCGGCGCCGATAGCATCTGTCCCTTGCCGAGGGCCGATAGCTCACTTGCTCGGTGTGCCAATGGCGTGCATGTGCCCACGCTTCGACGCGGCCGCTGACGTGGCGTCACGTGCTGGCAGCTCGCACGGCAAACGCTGGGCCATCGCTGGGTGCTTTCGGGCGAAATGGCTTCTTGGACGCACGCAACCATGGCCCACGTGGGCTGAGAACACGCAGGATGTAGGCGCTGCCGTCTCCATCCCATGCTGCACGCTGCAACGACTGCGACTCGACCTGCCACTGAAGACATCGCATTGTGTTGGTGACTTAGCCGGCGACATTGGCGAGGCGCAGTTGAAGATACGCTGTCTTGTGGCGGTACAAGAACGGGCTGCTGGTAACACCGAGGGCCGCCGCGGTCGTCGCCATGACGCGCTGTGCAAAGTCGAGCGGTGTCTCGGCCGCGCCGATGCTCTATCCATTCATTCGACGTCTCTTGTATAGAAATGCACCAGATGCCTTACGGTGGGCGGCAAGACGCGCAGTGTAAAGCGATGCCACGGCAAAAAGAGGAACCAGAGCACATTGGCCATCGTCGAGCTCGACTCGTCGTTCAAGTGCACGGGCTAGGGTCCGTCACATCTCGTGTGTTCAAAGCGTATGACGACGTACAAAAGGGCCGTCGGTCGCCGAGAGCGCGATGGGCTGGATGCGCACACCGAGGCCGAAGAGGAACGTGTGGTACTGCAATAAGCCCGCGACGCCATTCGTCATCCCGCCCTATGTGCACGATTTTCCGCCGCATTTTTCAAGCATCCATCATCATGATGATCCAACGCATCCAACCATACCTCGGGGAAGCACAGGATCGGGCGAATGCCGGCATGGACTTTCTCGGTGAGCAGTGCGCGCAGCGCATCGCGGCCCGACGTATTGCCTTGGGTGCGCGATGCATAAGGCACGTAAATGTACCCGTAGGCGGCAGCGAGGCGTCGAAACACCCGCGACGACTTGAAGAAATCATATCCGAGCGTCTCGAACGGCCCGAGCACTTGGAGTGCGATTGCGCCCAGCTCACTCACATGGTTGCACACAAGAATGGGCGGGGACGGCGTCTGCCACTGGCCCTCCGGATCGAGAAGCGTCACGAAAAGACCCATGGGCACCGAGAGATAGACGAACGCGCGGCTAATGGTCGCTGCGTCTTTGAGGTAGAGAAGGGCGATGAAAAAGAGGGCGAGCAGGACCAGCCGAAGGATCAGGAGCAGCAGCCCGATCGGCGCATAGAAGGCGAGGGCCACGTGGCCAAAATGGAGTGGGCGGTGCAGACGGCGCGTGTGCAGCATGCGCGACAAGCGGTGGAGGCCCGGCGTCGAGCGAAACGTCGACTGTGTCCAGAGCTCCGGGTGCTCGAGGACTTGCGCCGCTGCCTCGAGACCGTCACCGCCTTCGTCGGTCGACGGGTGTACCGGTGCGCTCATGGACCGCCACCTAAAAATATCGCATCTCTTCGTAGTGACACCCTTGTGCTCGTATCAATGTATCAATTCCGCGCAAACCACCAAAATGCAACACAAAACCAACGACCATTTCGTCGTTTTATCAAAAACTAAACACATCATATATCGTCTCGTCGACGTGCTCGAATCGCCCTCCGTTCGTGCGAATACATTCTAACGCCGAGACACAGCCAGTTCTACACGCGACGCTTTGTTTACAGAGCGCACTCGAACCACTTGACGGGCTTGCGGTCGCAGCCCCACCAGCCATCGCCGTACCGCATCGACGCATCGAGGTGGTTGATGCTCGCTTTGAAGTGGAAGCTCGTCTCGGCGCTCGTACCAAACTTGCGTGGATCGATGCCGACGGCGCAGCTCGTAAAGTCGACGACGCCATCGTAATCGGGACTGTCGTGCTGGGACATTTTGCCAACGACGCCAATGGCCGCCGACGTGAGCGACGTCAAGCCGACTGCATTCGTGCCGCAGAGGACGCGCGTGACGTGCTTTTGCCGCACCGCTTGGGCCGCCACAAACTTGGCTTGCATGTGTGCACCCACCGTCGTTTGGTGCTTGAGCGAGTCGTACGCTTGCTGGACGGGGCAGAACCCGACTTGCTTCAAGACGTACTTGATGATCGCGTTGCCCCAGCCGCCGGCCGCGCACTTGTTGGCGAGGAGGTTGGCCGTCTTGCTGCCTTGCATCGGGCCGGCAATCGAAACCCACGTCACGTCCTTCCCGATCGAGCACTTGTTGTTCGCGACCGCGCTGCTAGCAATGAGATTGCCCATCGAGAAGGTCACGAGGATCATGCTTCCGAGCTCCTTGGTCCCATTGGTAGACGTTGCCTTGCTCACACGCAGCGCCGCGTCACAGAAATCTTGCTGCGTCGACGCGTCGTCCCAGCGGTGGTTGGTCGTCTCGAGATGGATAAACTGGACGCTCGAGCAGCACGGCGCGTGTTCTTGGATGTTGCCCCAGCCCGATGGAAACGTTGGCGTCATCGGACCTGCCTCGGTCTCGCCGACACCGTGCACAAAGAGGCACGGCTTCTTCTTGCCCATCTTGCAGCCGCACGACGCCTTGTTGATGACCGTCGAGCGCTCGTAGCCCGCCACGTACGAGGCCACGTCCGACGACGTCTGCATCAGCGACTTGGCGACCGGCAGTACCGAATCGGCGACAACCGCGGCGCACGTCAAAGGCTCACCGTTCGGCAAGACGGGAATCTCCATCTCGGGCACGAGCGTCGGGTCGGAGAGGTACTCGACCGATATGTCGAGGTCCGTACCGGTCGCGTGCGTGAGCAGGTTGTTCTTGGAGTTGCAAAAGACGAACGACTCGCCCGCAAACGACACATGCAGGAGCTTCCCATCCGGGCAGTCGGCGATCGTGACGTTGGCGACCTTGTAGTTGTCAAGGACACTGGACTCGTGGAGGCTTGTCTGCATGAGCTGGACGGGCGGCACACGGCCGGCGTCGAGGCACTCGGCCGAGACCACGACGCCGTTCTTGGACGTCGCATAGTACGCCTTGTGGTCGAGCAGAAGATACGTCTCGGTGATTTCCGGGCCCACTTGGGTCAAGAGCGCATCAAAGAGCAAGGTGGACCCGGCGCCACCCCGGGGCACGACAAACACGTCGGCGGTCGACTTGCCGTTGAATGTCATCGTATCGCGCTTGGCTCGGAGCGAGATCTTGAGCCCAGGGCTTTGCTGGATGTTGGTGATGATCTCGGTCGCGTGGTTGGTCACGTGCGTCTGGAACACAAAGATCGCGCCGAGCGTGACGCAAACCACGCCGGTCAAGGCGACGATCGCAATCGCAATGCGCGTGCGCTTGGTGGTCCAGCTCGTTGTTGTTGGTGCCGGCGTCGTCGGTGTCTCGTCGCTCGGTGTGCTCGCAACGTTGTAGTCGTCGAGGGGCGACGTGGCCTTGGCATGAGGAATACCCGTCATACTACTTGGTAGTTGAAACGTCGGCGGGTGCGCGGAACAGAGCAAAAGCAAGTCTGCCGCGCACGTTGCATTGCGCCAACGATCGTGTGTAAGTAACCTGCATACAGGCCACTCGTGCTTGAAGACTGCGTGCGCCTTTACTATTGACCTCCGCAATATGTACGAAAATCGCAGGTGTCGACAGATCCGGTTGACGGAGACGGACGCCATATGTTCGATCAACATCTGCGCATGGATGCCTGACGGTTCCGCGAATGCTCCGCTGTGCGTCTATCGTGGGACCTTGTGTCGAGACGTGCGTTGGCACTGTAGCATCGACCACGTCTTTGATGGGCGGCTAATCATGATAGATTCGCGTCGGCTGCCGGTGGCCATGGATGTAGGCGATCGGTTTTCTATTGCTGTAGCACGTACGGCTGAGAACCTGGATGCTAACACTCAGAAATACCGGGTTCCGTGAGATTCGAATGGGCTCTCGTGCTGGACACGGACGGGGTTGCTGTTCAAGCCGATCGCGGTTGTGGGCTCTTTGTCTTCCGAGCACGCGACCGACGTTGAAGTTCCGGCACAACCAGCGCGTTGCGTCGACGCACCAACCACAACCAACGCATCGCAAGAGTGCGGACACGGTCGCGTCGCTTTCGCGTACCCTTGCCGTGCACAGAAAGGCTTGGAACAAAGATGCCGTGATCCGGACGGGTATCACCCAGGTCCCAAGGGCAACACAGAGGGAACTTGATGCGCTACTGCAACAGCCTCGACGTATTGACCTCTTCCAAGACCGCGTTATGAGTCGCCTCCTGAGTTGCTGCTCGTGGGCCGTGCAATACAGACAACGTAGGCAAAGCCACGTTTGTGGATCTGACGCCACAGCCGATGGCATCAGAAATGCCACATCTGAGTAAACCACCTGTGCACAACAAGCCGGTCGCTGCATCTGGCAAGGAAGAACATGTAATGTGCCTCGGTGGGCTACACTCACTGTACCCCACCGTACCGTAGATACGTCACTGCACTTCTCTATCATCCGCTCTATCCATAGCTTCTTGGTACGGTAGGATTCAAGGCCATCGAGACGTACTCTGGAAACGATGTCGCTGCTGCGTTTCCGACGTCGCTGGTCACGTCGATGTTGCTTGTACATTGCGACTCGAAGATGGAAGACTCATCACGAAGACTAGCGCAAACAAGCCATACAAGTATGTAATCCGACGACGTCACGGAGATGCATGTCGCGCGTCAAGGTGATCAGCATCTGCCGTGTGCGGTAGAAGGCGGACCTGCTGACGGCCCTCAACCCCTTAACATCGCCTCCGTCTCAGCACCACCTCTCCCCACTAGCCCTCACTCTCTCCCTACCAGCTCTCCCTACCAGCTCTCCCTACCAGCTCTCCCTACCAGCTCTCCCTACCAGCTCTCACCGTCCCGTAAAATGTTGCCTTGGTATCGACAGATAGACGACTGTCATCTCGCAAGCCCAATTCGATGCTCGTCGCAAGGTTGATAGTAGCTCTACAAAATGCAAAGTATCAAGTCAACTCGACGGTTGGAATATCTTGAAACGACGACGATGAACCAGGCAGACGCGGTGCGTATAAGCGCTAGGGAGGCGAGCCTCAAGGCGGCGCGGCGCCGCTGCGAAACGCAGCTCATGGGCCGCGACGTCCACACCGCGTACGCCAACATTGTGGCCACCGTGCAGGACGCGGTGGGTGTCTATGGCAAGCATGGGCTTGCGATCGTGCCCTACTACCTCCTCATGGCCGAAGTCGGCTTGGAACTGGGGCATCTCAAGCAGGTCGAGGAGGTCCTCGCGCTCAGCATTTGGAGCCTCGTGCGCAGCGCCGAAGAGAGCAGCGCCAACGAAGGCGAGACGCACCCGGGCACGCTCCTCCAGCGCGCCGCGGTGTGCAAGCTCTACGGTCGGTTCCACGCCGAGGCCGAGAACTACGACGAGGCGCTCAAGCAAGCCGCCAACGGCGCCTACTACGCCTCGCTCGTCCACGGCCCGGAGCACATTCTCACGTCAACGCTCTACTACACGCTCGGGTGCATCTTCCAACGCATGTTCAAGACCGAGCAAGCGCTCGGTCTGTTTGACAAGCTGGTCGAGATCTGGTACAAGTACCTCGCCAACCGCCCGCCGTCGGCCGAATCCAAGGACCGAGGTCATGACGACGACGACGACGCGCTGGCCCACGAGCGGCTCCTGCACGAAGGCAATGCGATGCTGTTGCACATCCTGGATACGCGCGCCAAGGTTCCATGTAGAAGACGAGTGGACGTGCGCTCAAGATACCTTTGTAGGTGCTCGGCGCGGGCCACATTGCGACCGGTGAGGTCGAGTATACCATGGTATTAGCGACTTGCGCTGCGCCTCGTGTCTCGAGCGTGGATTAGGGTCTGCTCAAGTTGCACATGGGCTGCCGGTCGGACGCCAAGGGGTTTCTGGACCAAGCGCTCTCGATCTACACGGACGCGCTCGTAGGATGCGACTGCGTGCCCACGTCGGGCCTCATGTGCTGCGTAGGGTTCGCTACACCCGTCGACGATCGATGTCCAAAGCGTGATCGATCAAGTTCGTGACGTTTGAGATTCCCAATGTTAAAGACGTCTACTTGAGCGAGCTCTTGCGGCCGACGCGGGGCGCCTTGGGCTTGGCGAGACTCAGCGTCGAGACTAGCGTCGTTGTCTTGACCAGATGCGCAAACGGATCGGCCGACTTGAAGCACGTGTTGCCATACTCGCGTTGCTACAGGACGTCCAGGCTTGGCTTCCACGCATCTTTTGGACCTACCTGGTCCGGGGTGTTGAATTTCAGGTGGAGCTTCCAAGCGTGGAGCATCATGCGCGGCGCATCGTCCTCCTCGCTACCGTACGTCACGTCGCCCACTAGCATCGAAGAACGCTCGTTCCTTGTGCATTGTGGGTTGGCGATACAGACGTACCGATGGGATACCCGTACTGGCTCAAGTGCAATCGGAGCTGGTGCCGGCGACCACTCAGCGGACGCAAAAGCACCTTCGTCACGGGCTTGCCGTCGATCGTGCCATGGCCCAGAACAAACGCCACGGTCGTCGAGACCTACATTTGGCGTCGTGGTCAGGTGGTCCTGCCATCGAGCTCCGGCACAAACAAGAACCTTGCCGCGCGGGTCACTGGGCGGGACAATCTCCATCCGGAACGAGTGGTCGGGCGACGGCGCAATCGGTTGGTTAAAGATGTAGCCCATGGGTTCGTCCGGCTCGCTGTCCAAGCGAGGTCGCTTGGTCGTCGGCGCGAGCTCCGACATGGCCCGGGGTCGGCGGCCACCGGTGTTGGCGACGACCGGCGCGTTGTACTGGACGTCGACACGCGGGGCTTCGGCCTGCAGTTGTGCCGCAAGCTCGGCTTCGTAGCGCAGGCTACGCAACGACGTCACCGTCCATATTGCCGCGTAAGCTCTACCGGTCGGCGGCGGCGCGGGCAAAATACGCTTGCTGGAGGTCGTCGGCGAGGTCGTTCCACTTCTTGCGGAGAAGGTCCTTCTCTGCGTCCGAGAGCACGTCGCCTGCGTGCATCTTTCGCCGCACGACGCCTTGGTCCATCGCAAAGAGGGACGGACCCGTGCGCGGGCCCTTGAACTTGCGCGTAAACTTGAGCTCGTGCTGCTTCTTGGGCAGGATCGGGTTGTCGCTGTCAGCGATAAAGTCGGCGAGGCGCGAGAACGCGACGGACGGCGCGCTTGGCGGCGGCAGCAGCGGCATCGTGCCATGGACGAGTGCGAGGTACTCTTTCTCGACGCACTTTTTCTGAAAGAGTCCGCTCGCCGCCGACGTCGACCTAGCCATGCGCATGAGCACATGCGATGGCGTGGCATGATGGGTATGGCCTACTCCTTGGTCGTGCCAATGCACATGACACCCGACGTGGCTAGTGCGTCGATCAGGCCATGTCAGTTCCGAAGAGGCAAGAGAAGCGTACCAAAGTCGAGCTGGTGGATCCAGCGAAACTTGGGCACGTCCGGAAAGTCGCGGGCGAGCGCCTTCTCGATCGTCACGTTAAAGTCGCCGTCGAGACGCACGTCGGCGCCCTACGACGACACAGTAGGAGGCAACGTCCATGTTGCAGCCGCCACCTTGTTGATGACGAGGTAGTACGGCGACCGGGACAAGACCTCGAGCTCGAGCGCGTCGAGCGTCAAGGGCCCACCACGCGTGTCTTCGATCGCGCTCTCGTCGAGGTGGCCCTCTTGCTTGCGCGGCGCCTTGATCGGCGGCGGCGCGAGAACACGACGGGCGGCGCTGGCGTCGCCTTGGCCGCATGGTTGCGCAGGACGCGCGACGACGTCGGGAGGTTGCTGAGGCTGGCGGCGCGGCGACGGGACATGGCGGAGCGGGTGGCGAAGCGGGCGGCGACGGTCTGTATCCTGCCGATCATGCACCGGCAAGCAGACGTTGGACGCGAGATTCCCACGCAGCGATATCGGGTTTGTGCCTCAACCCAGGCACACAAACCGTCCTTGGTTATCTAAATTCGGACTTGTCCGAAAATAGAGTCGTGGACTAAACACACGCCACCGTTCGCGATCGCATCGCAACCAGCTTGGCGTGGCAACGCCAGCTTTTCCACGTGTCGACGCCAACAAAATCTTGGCCGGTGTCGACGCACGGCCCGCACGAGCAAGGCACTCTTGTACTTCTGCTGGCGGCAAGATCGAGCGAGAGAGAGCTAAGCGCGAGAGGGCTGGGTCTAATATCACCTAACCCTAGTTCGTCCCGCAGCTCTACAACCTGGTCTGGACTCCAAGAAGTCGATCGAATCTCCGGTTCTGAAGGAAAACGACTCTCCAAGACTCTCGCGGCGCACTCATATAGCTCCCGCGAAAACGAACCTGAGCGAACGTGCAGGGACGCTCGGAGCCGTGTCGCGTCGATGACGGCGGTGTCCATGCTACCATTCCCAACGGTGAGAACCTCGACCAACTTCGTCCTCCTGGTCTTGCGACCTCTGCGATCGACGTTTGCCTCTGCACAAAATGCATCGAAACAACCGACGTTGGCAATCAACCGAAAAGATAAAGACGCCCACCAACCTGCCTCTGGCGCTTGCAATGCCTCAATGTATCCACTATACCACTTTATATCTCTTATATTGGAGTGCACGCTACGTCTTCTGCATCGCACACCACTACAACGAGAGTCGGTTCATATCGCTCGAGACGCGCCACATCTCCTCGATCGGGCCGAGCTCGCTCAAGTTGATGTCCGAGACCGAGAGGCGGTTCACGTCGCCCGGTGGCGGCGGCGCGTCACTGCCGTTGACAAAGTCCCGTGATTGTCGTTCTGACGCATGCGCCGGGCCGCCGACGCGCGCGCCGCGTCCATGCTCAGCGGCAGGCGCGGCCGCTTGTTCTGCGCATCGTCATGCTCGGGCATCATCGGCTGCTGCTGCTGCGCGAACGCCGCCGCGAGGTTCGGACGCCCGCCGGACGCTTGCGCGGCAAACGACGCTGCCAAGTTGTTGTGGTTGGCGTCGCCGTTCGTCTTGAGGAACGGGTTGCTCGGGATGCCATCGTTGCCGGACGAAGGACTCTTGGGCGCACTGTAGTGCTGCTGCGCAAAGGAGGCGGCAATGTTGAGTGGTGCTGGCGGCTTGGGCTCGGCCTTGCCGCCAAGCGACTGGACAAACGACGAGGCCACGGAACCGCCCGAGTGCTGACGCATCGGAGCCGGCGGCTTGAACGCATTCTCGTTGGTTTGCGGCGACGATCGCATCTGTTGCGCAAACGAGGCTGCCGGGTTTGCGTTCATGGGAAAACTCATCGAGGCGTGTTGGTCCATCTTGGGCTGTTGCTGCTGCGACGACGACACAGTCGAGTGTGTCGGATGTTGATGCGGCGGTTGTTGCGCGTGGTGCTGCTGCTGCTGCTGCTGCGGGTGGTAGTTGCTGTTATCGGGCGTCGAGTACGACTGCGGATGCGGCGTGTACTGGCCACGGGGATACCCCATTGGCGGGTACTGCCCGTACGAAGACGACGGGTTGTGGTAGTTGGTGGTGTCGTACGCAGAGCCTGTGTTCATCTTGTGCATAAACTGGTCGGCGGGGTTGAAGCCGCCTTGGCTATAGTGCGGCGGGTGGTGCGGCGATGGGTACCCTTGGTACATGTCATGCTGGCCGTTGTACATGCCATGGTGGTTGCCCATGGACGGGTGCATGCCGTTGCCGTTGGTGTGGAGCATCGGCGACTGCAGCTCCGACATCATGCTGCGCTGCGGGTAGCCCATGCCGCTGGACGGCGCCTTGTCGTACGACGCCTTGTGGTCCGACGCGACCGCCGTGACCGTGATGGGCGATACGCTGTTGTCGTTTGGATCCTTCTCGTTTGTGTTGCGACGGTTGCGTCTACGCATGCCACGTCAGATGGTTGGCGGAGGCCGACAATAAGAAGGTGCTTACCCCGACTTGGTCCGGCACAGCGACTTCCATCGGATCTTGACCGCGTCTTCCGTGCGGCCCGGCAGCATCGCTGCGATCGCCGACCATCGGTTCCCGATCCGCTGCTGCGCTTCCAAGATGATCTGGTCTTCCTCGGCCGTGTACTCGCTGGTTTGAAGATAAGGCTTCGAGAGAGTCAACGGAGATGAACGTACCCACGCACGATGTTCGGGTCCAAGTGGTTGTACCAACGCTCTCGGCACTGCTTGGACGTGCGGCCGGGAATGCGCGTGGCGACTTGGCCCCAGTTCTTGCGGCCTTCGGCGACCAATTGGCGCAGAATGTCGTCTTCGTCCGGTCGCCAATGGCCCTTGATGAGGCCCGGCGCAAGCACTTTGGTCCAGCGCTGCAAACACTGCGTGTGGTTGCGGCCGGGCACGACCTCGGCAATCGACTTCCAATTGCGCTCGCCATGGGCCTCGACCGCTTTCCGGAGCGCGTCGTCTTCTTCAGGCGTCCAGCGCATCGGCGTTGCCTTGCCTACGCCATGCTTACGCGCCGCGTCCGCATGCAAGCCATGTACCTTGTGTCTGCAACAGCTTGCGCACCGAGCCTTGGGGCAAGGCCACGCGGCCCGACGCCGTGATGCCCGTGACGTCCTGCTGCTTCTGGCGCGGGATGCCCTTGATCTCCTTGGGCATCTGATATGGCTTCTTCCTACGCATGCCATGCATCACTCGCCTCGTCGTCGCCAGCATGGTCGTACGGCGCGTTGGCGTCCGCGGGCTTTTGGCTCTCGGTGAAGAGGACCTTGCCGAGGTCCGAGATCGACTGCCGCGCGTCCACATCGATCGGGAACGAGTCGACGAACTCGTGCATGATGGACCCGATCGAGTCGCGGCCTGATGGCGCAGCTCCTGCCATCGTCGTGTTTAAACAATGGGCGAGGCCAGGCCAAAGTCGCAGGTAGCATAATACAATGCCCAGAATAAAATACATGATGCCATCAACACATACAAAGACCAAGTGATTGTGGCCACCACGCGCCGTGAAATCCGTATTGTATTCCTCTGTTGAAGATTAAAAATAGATCGAACCGCGCAAGCGCGCTTACCCATTGGTCAAAACAGATGGCTTTTCTAGCAAATCATAAGTAACAGCTTGGCCACCCTCGCCACGCCTCAAAGC